TGGGTGGGTTTTTGTGGGTTTTGGTTTGCTTTTGTTTGTTTGTTTTGTTTTTGGTAGTAGTGGCTTGAGGTGGAAAAGGATTTCTGTGGATGTTTTTGTTATTGTTTGGTTTGGTTTGGCTTTTGATTGTTTTTTGTTGTTGTTTTTTGTTTTGTTTTTGGTTGTAGTGGCTTGAGGTGGAAAAGGATTTCTGTGGATGTTTTTGTTATTGTTTGGTTTGGTTTGGCTTTTGATTGTTTTTTGTTGTTGTTTTTTGTTTTGTTTTTGGTTGTTTGGTTTGGGTTGGGATTTTTGTTTGTTTGTTTTGTTTTGTTTTTGTGGTGCTGGGGACCAAACCCAGGGATTTACACATGGTATATAATAGCTTGTTTGTTCGTGCTTATGATGCCTACTGGTATATCAAAGGAAGAGGGGAGAGAGCTGTTACATAACTGAATTCTGAGGCTGCTTAATTTTGAGGGTATTTTTTCTTTCTACCTGTTTATGCCTTAGAAATCATAATCCTAGCTGGGCGGTGGTGGCACACGCCTTTAATCCCAGCTCTTGGGAGGCAGAGGCAGGCGGATTTCTGAGTTCGAGGCCAGCCTGGTCTACAGAGTGAGTTCCAGGACAGCCAGGGCTACACAGAGAAACCCTGTCTCGAAAAACCAAAAAAAAAAAAAGAAAGAAAGAAAAGAAAAAAGAAATCATAATCCTACTTTAATGCTTTTGTGTGTTTGTTTGTTTTGGGTTAGGTTTGGTTTGGTTTTAGAGACAGGGTCTCACTATATAACCCTGGCTGTCCTGGAACTCACAATGTAGACCAAGCTGGCCTCTAACTCACAGAGCTCCACCTGCCTCTGCCTCCCGAGTACTGGGATTAAAGGCGTGTGCTACTATGCTTGGCTCCGACTTTAACATACTTATTTTTTTGTCTGTGAGCATGCACATACTGTGGCATGTGTATAGGTCAGAGGATAACTTTCAGGAATCAGTTTCCTCCTTCTACCGTATAAGTTCTGAGAATAAACTCAGGTCTTTGGGCATGGTAGCAAGCACCTTTGGATGCTGAGCCATCTCACAGGCCCCAGATCCTACTTTAAAATAACTTTTTATTCTTTTACTCAAAAAAAAAAAAAAAACCAACAACAAAAAACTATCCTAACTTAAAATGAAAACAATAAAGATTTTGTTTGTTTGTTTTTTAACAAGTTAGCTATTGGGTACCCTGTCAGGGCTAGAAAATCTCCCCCGCTGGAAGTGGTTGTCTAGCTCTTCTCTTTCTGCAGGTGGAGCGGCTGACCAAGGAGTTCTCTGTCTACATGACAAAGGATGGCCGAATCTCTGTGGCAGGGGTTACCTCTGGCAATGTGGGCTACCTCGCCCACGCCATTCACCAGGTCACCAAGTAATTACAGATTCGAAGGAACAGAGACCACTTTCCCTTCAGCCTTTGCTCTTGTGAGAGTCACGTGCAGGGTGAGGGAGGGTGGATGGTGGTGAGAGTAGATCCTGTTTTCAACCACGGTGCATAACGCTCAACGACTGAACGCATTCCTCGGAAAGAGGTAGGGCGGAGGCTTCCGCAGCTCGGCTCCTATCTGGAACTTCGTTGGCTCTAAACCAAACTTTCCCTCATCCTTCTGTCTCCAGCTTTTCTGAAAGTTTACATGTGCAAGAAAATCACAACACCAAAAACCTGTCAGCCATGGCATTGGAATAGGTCAGAAGCTTTACCTGAAGCCTCAGGCGGTATCAGGGGCTCCCCCGTGGACCCCGGTAGAGCCTCTCATATTAGAGGCTGTAAAAGAAAAATAACTAGTTCTGTCATTAACAGTTGTTCTCAAGTTTTTCCTCCCGGTGTAGAGCAACCGTGTCAGCAGACCACATTACAGAAATTATGCTTTACAAAAACCAACAGGTCTGTTGCCACTTCAACAGGGACAGTAGAAGATGTGATGTCTTGTCCCCCCTGCCCCTTCTTGTCATCGGTGTTCTATAGAGTCTAGGGTTCCATCACGTTCTACTGCTGGGTTGACCGTCAACCTCATCCTATCGGGAGTTATCTGAGAATGGAGAACGTAGTTTTTCTGCTCATGCCGTAGCCTCCTGTCTCAGCAAAGAGCCGTGGAGAGTGGGACCCTGCCCTTGATTTCAGTGTCCTCTTCAGTGATTGGTTGGCTCCTACTGGGATGGGGCCTCTGCCCAGCTGGACCTCTTCATTCATCCTGGCTGCACAGCCTGTCTCTTCACATGAGTCAGACGTGTAGGGTGGGATCAGGAGATATTCTGGGGTTTGTGTGCTGCCAGCCCGGCTCAGACTCCGCCCTTGGGAAAGATAACCACCATCTACTCTAATAATGTAGACGTACTGCCACCTGGTTTCTCTGTTACAATAAAATTACTATAGGCCCAGCCACTGTCTGCTTTTCTACTTAATGGGAGGAAAGGGTAAGAGTGGATGTATATCCCGAAAGTCTGAAGTCACGTCCAGCTGACTGTAAATCAAATGATGCATCAACTTCGAGTCCCGAGCAGAATTGCATCAGGCTCTTCATCCAGCCTTTCAGCTGGTCCAAAAGTGTGATTCCTCAGACATCAGGAGACAGGAGTCATCTCCCAGGGGATGCTGTGGAAGGCTAGGGGAGGGGTAGAGGTGACTCCAGCTATCAAAAGGAATTGAGCTCATAGTTAAATAAAAGGTGACGTGAACTAGATCTAGGACAATCATGGGTTACCAGCCCCCATCCTCAGTGTGGAAGATGAATAAGAGAGGCTGGCACTGTGACATCATACTCTAGGCTGAGGCTGTAAGTTTTAATGAAATTCTAATTTGGAAGAGATGAGCAATGATTTCAGGGCTTTATCCCCAAACATGAGGATATCATCCTTGCCCACCACTCCCGTCTTTTAAATTGTTATTTCTCTGAGATTCCCAGCACGCTGCTCGGTGTACATCCTCCATGTAGATGTGTGTACATTCATGCAGGGTGTGTGTGTGTGTGTGTGTGTGCGTGCGTGCATGGCACCCTTGGAAAGGTCTGAGGACAGTCTTGAATGTCAGTCCTGAAAGGCCTTCCACATCTTTGAGACAAGGTGTCTCGCTGTCCTGGAATGTAACCATATAAGCTAACCTGGCCCACAAGTTTCCCAGGATGCTCCCGTCTTGGAGTATTAGGATTACAGGAACACTCTGCTACGTCCAGCTTTTTACACTAGTTCTGGGGATCTGAGCTCAGGTTCTCCTGCTTACAAGATGCTTCTGTGTTTTCTGTTCACCTGCTTCTGCTTACTCCTGAGGGACCGGTGGAGGGTGGGGCGTCACAAAACAAAAAAGGTAACAGAGTTCATAGGGGAATACTTTTTTGGGGGGGAGAGGGGGTGGTTTCACGACAGGGTTTCTCTGTGTAGCCCGGGCTGTCCCTGGAACTCACTCTGTAGAACAGGCTGGCCTCGAACTCAGAAATCCGCCTGCCTCTGCCTCCCAAGAGCTGGGATTAAAGGCGTGCGCCACCACTGCCCGGCTTCAGAGGGGAATACTATTAACAACACATAGCCCAAGAAATCCTAAAGGAGGGAAGAAAAACCTACCAGCTGTTTCACAATATCCAATCTCAAACTATGCTAAAAAGCTATAGTAACAAAGATAGCTCAATATTAACACAAAGACAGGCTAGTGGATCGAAATAGAGGATCCATATAGCTATAGGCATCTAGATTGAGGGGTGATGTTTGGGGGTTTTAGAGGAGACAGTTTGAGGCAGGGTCTCTCTGTGTAGTGCCGGCTATCCTGAACTCACTGTAAGTCAGTCTGGCCTTGAACCCAGAGACCCTGAAGCTGTGAGCCACCACCACCTAAGTTTTTGGGGTTGTTTGTTTTGTTTTAGGGGGTATTTTGTTGTTGTTTGTCTGTTTGTTTTAACAAAGATAATCAAAAACATACACTGGGCCTGGCAAGATGGCTCAGTAGGTAAAGGTGCCTGCCACCAAGCTTGATAACTTGAATTCAATCCCCACAACCTACATGATAGAAGCAGAGCACTGACTCCTGTAAGTTCTCTTCCATCCTCCGTGTATGTGTGGTAGCATGTGTGCAAACACCATACATACACACATATATACATACATACATACATACATACATACACTCGGAAAAGACATTCAGCAAATGGTGCTGACAAAAACTATAGATACATACCTGTAGAGGAATGAAATTGGGGGCTGGAGAGGTGGCATAGGATTCAGAGCACTTGCTCTTACTGAGAACCCAGGTTTGGTTCCCACATGGCAGCTCACAACCATCTCTAACGCCAGTTCCAGGGGATCCAATATACTTTTTGACCTCCAAAGGTGCCAGGCACACACCTAGTTAACCTACATGCAACACACACATACACATAAAACAAATATGAAAAAGAGAATGAAAAATCTACATCTATTCCACTGCATAACAGTCCATTCATGAGCTTGGCATGGTGGCACAGCCTCAATCCCAGCACTCAAGAGGCAGAGACGATCTGTGTGTTCAAGGCCAGCATGGTCTACATAGGAATTTATAGGCCACTGGGCAGTGGTGGTGCACGCCTTTAATCCCAGCACTTGGGAGGCAGAGGCAGGCGGATTTCTGAGTTCGAGGCCAGTATGGTCTACAGAGTAAGTTCCAGGACAGCCAAGGCTATACAGAGAAACCCTGTCTCGAAAAACAAAAAAACAAAAAAACAAAACGAAGTTGTAGACCAGCCAGAGCTCCATAGTGAGACCCCCTTCTCTCTCACACGCCAATGCTTCTGGTGTGTCTGAAGACAGCTACAGTGTACTCATGTACATAAAATGAATAAATCTTAAAAAGAGATCAGTAGGGGCTGAGAAAATGGCTTAGCAGTTAAGAGCACTGGTTGGTCTTCCACAGGGACCAGGTTCAATTCCCAGCATCAACACATCAGTTGACAACTATCTGTAACTCCAGTTTCAGGGGATCGGATGCATCAGGAGGGCATGTGCTGCACACATACATACAGACAGACACACAGATATACCCATATACATTAAAATAAATTTAAAAATAATAATGAAGATTATCAACAGATTGTGTCAATGTCGATATTCTGTTGTATGATGCTGTCTGTGAATCCATGTGTTGAGGCAAACTGGCACACAGATCTCTTTGTATTATTTCTTACGTCTGCACTTGGCTCTGCTGACTTCAGTAACATCGTCTCCTTTTCCAGCTTGTGCCAGGGAGTTGCATGGTTTCCTGAGACAGGATTTTATTGTGGAACCCAGGCTAGCTTCAAACTCACAACTCTCCTGCCTCAGCCTCTTCAATGCTGAGCTTACAGGTATGTGTCACATACCCAACTTAGCATTTTCTGTATTTTTAAAATGAGACTTAGGCCCATTGAGAGGCTCAACATGTAAAGGCACTTGTTATCAACCCTGAAGACCTGAATTCAATCCCAGAGCCAACAAGATGAAAGAAGAAAGTTGCCTTGCGGACTCCACATGCATACTGTGAATGTACAGACACACATAAGTAAATATAAAAGAAAACAATTCATTAAACTATACTGTGACTACAACTGAAAGGTATCACACTTGCCTAGAGCCCAGATTCAAGTTCTAGAACCCCAAATAAAGAGGCAGAAAAGGACTTCATTTATAAATGGCACACAGCCAAGTTCAGAAGCCAAAGCTCTAGGCATTCACACCTTCATTCAATGAATTGAAAGCCTGAACCGCCTCAAACGCTTCCGAAATCTAGCTTGAGGTTGTAGCCAGGGATTAATGAATGCTCAAACTGGCCCTCTCTCTTGTTCAATGGTCCCTCACACTCCTCAGTCAAAGAAACTCTGGGGTCACTTGCTGTGGCAATGAATGAAAGGAACAAACATAATGAGGCCAAATAGCTCTGGCCCATGGCTCCTGAGGACAAAGATGTCAAACCTCTTAACGCTCTTTCCAGGAGGAAGGAACAGTGTTTAGTTTGGCCAAGGGACCAAGTCTAAAAATAACTGGATAAACGGGTTGGCAGAGAGCCAAGCTGGCTCAGAACTGTTGTTGGGTTGAGACGCTTTTGTGGTCCGAGGGTGACACTGGCTTTAAAAACTACAATTCCCAGAGTGTCCTGGGGCCTGTGCTGGCTGGACGGTCATGTGATTCAAGCTCACGTGTTTCTAGAGTCAGCTCCGGAACGACACCTACAAGGTTTGTGAAAGGAGGTACGGGAGGTGCTGGGTGGGGTTGTAGGGTTGCTGGGTCCTCGGAGTCCCCTATCACTGCTGAGACCAGATCCCTTCACGGCTCCACAGCTGTCTTTCCCTGTTGCTCTCTCCTGCACCGGTCCAGCCACGCCTTAGCCTGGGCGGCTCTCTACTGAGTCCTAGGCCAGGATCGAGTTAGCTCCGGAGTTACACACGCAACCCACCGATTTTACGCCAGGCTTGGGGCACTCCCCAAACCACCCTGGTCGTCAGGTGCTCGCTGTCCCACCTCCTAATGCAATCCAAGCCTCGTGTTTCAGTGCTGATCCCAGGCTGGACTGGCAAGCGTGCGAGATCTGTTCCATCTCCGACCTAATAGTGTGCATCGTGCCTATAGCTTTGGCCCCGCCAACTGCTCACTGTGCCCTTATTGTAATCCCTTTCTTTCACAGGCCTTTTTCCTATCTGATCTGGCACTCCACTCCTTATCATAGGTTATTCAGAACTACTCAGTGTAATCTCCCACCCCCAACCCTGGTAGCCAGCCGCAAAAGCCCAAAGTCTTTTCTCTATTGACTGCAGATTTTAGGTAAAGCCTTGCGAAGAACTTGAGGCCAAAAAGGGAGGTGAGGAGACTCTGATCCCATACCTTTAGGCAGAGGAAACACCCCTCTTCTAGATTAGCAGGTAAACTGGGAGCAGCGGGGCTGAATAATTGGGGTAGGGGTAAAAGCTCTTAGACAAGTGAGAGTGGTCCAGGGGGTGGGGTTACTCGACCTGAGCTTTTGTGTGGTTGCAGGAGAGGCTGGGCAAATGGCTGAGGACTGGGTAAGGGTGCCAAAGGGAAACCTGCTTCCTAGACAGACTTAGGGTCACATGACCTCGATGTCTGTTTCTGCGGTGTGAGCATTGTGGAATGGATGGCCTTAGACCTCTCTGGAGCTATGCCTGGATTAGGGGAGTCCCCAGACTGACTTCACTACTCACCACTGAGATTTTGCTGAGTTGCTGGCTGGGAAAGGAGATTGTATCATAAGAGGAAGAAGTCTGGCTTGACTGGTGTTTTTGATTCTGGCCCCAGCAGAGGGCCACGGCACTAGGGCTGTGTCCTTTAGGTGCTGGATGGCAGATGACCCAGAGCACCTGCACTTTTCCTTCCTGGGTTGATGTCCCCAGCTTTGCCCATCATCAGAAGGCACTTCTAGGAAGCATCCCCACGGGCCTGGGTAACTATTCTAGACCTCCTCCTTTGCAATGGGCTGACCTTATCAAGATGGATGGTTTGGAATGGGAAGGACATTGGTTGTGGCTGAATCATTGCCTTTGTGGAAAAGAAATGGGATTTTTTTTTTAAAAAAGATGTATTTATTTATTTATTTATTTATTTTATGAATGTGAGTACACTGTTGCTGTCTTCAGACACACCAGAAGAGGACATCTATTGGATCCCATTACAGATGGTTGTAAGCCACCATTTGGTTGCTGGGAATTGAACTCAGGACCTCTGGAAGAGCTGTCAGTGCTCTTAACCGCTGAGCCATCTCTCCAGCCTGGGAATTGTTTTTTAACTACAGAGAATGAGAATGTGAATGAATGAACATGCTATCCTTTCTATATGGAGGTCAGAGAACAACCTGCCCATTCTTTCTCTCCACTGTATGATCCCAGGGATCGGACTCAAGTCATCAATCTTGATTGCAAGCACTTTTACTCATTCAGCCTTCTTACCAGCCCCAAAGTAGAGGTTGTTAGAGACCGTCTCCCAAGCCTCACTTATGGAAAGCACAGGCAGTAACATGCCCAGCCTGGTAATCCTTACTAGTATCAGCATACTCTTCACAAGAACTTAGACCTTGGAAAGGCTTAGAGGGGGCTAAAGTGACTGACCCAAGGTCATGCAAGTAGGAAGTGGACAGATTAGCTCTTGGCCCCGATTCTAAGGGGAGAGCATAGACCCTCCCAACTCAGGGGTGTGTGTGTGTGTGTGTGTGTGTGTGTGTGTGTGTGTGTGTGTTTAGTTTGTTTTTTGAGACAGGATTACACTGTATAGCCCAGGACTAGCTATGTGGTCCAAGCTGACCTTGAGCTCACAACAATCCTCCTGCCTCAGCCTCCCAAGTACTGAGATTACATTCATAAGCCTTCTTAGGGCTGCTCTTGGTGTGGGCTTAAGTGTGACTCTTTAAGAAACATAATTCCTTTTGGAGGTTCAGACTCTGCACTGCAGTGAGAGAACGCTGAGGGTCGGTTTTCAGAGCGAGGCTCCTGAAAACACTTAGAGAAGAGTGAGCCTCCTGCTTTTTAAGGCTAAAGGAAAGCCTGAAGTTAGGTTGTGTGTTCCCCGAGAGTGAGAAGAGTCAGGTGAGAACCCGGCTCTCCGAGTGCAGCCAGCCCAGGAAGGAGACAGAGGCAAACAGATGGATGTTCTAGGCCATATAAAATGTTCTAGGAATGTTCGTATTTGGTCTCTGTTCAATCATACATTCATTCAGTGTGTATGTCTGTCAGTCAGTCAGTGTGTGTCTGTGTGTGTATCTGTATGTGGGTCAGAGGAAACTTGTGGGAATTGTTTCTCTCCTTCCACCCTGTGGGTCCCAGGAGTCAAACCTGGTCCTCGGGCTTGGTGACAGGCACCGTTACCTGCTAAGCCATCTCAGCCAGCCTGGTTTTGAATCCCAGCCACCGGTGACTTCTGCATGACCAAGGATGGAGTGCACAATGCCTGGGCATCTGTATCTTTGGTTATAGCGGCAGTCCTGTCTACTCAGTTGTGGCTCATAGTAACAAATGCTTGGGAAAACAAGCCTAGAATCAGCACAGGGCTGGCACCCAAACAAATGACGGGAGGAAATGGGACTGAGTTATGACGAGCCCTCTAATGTCTCCAAAAAGGACTCAGTGACTGGCCAAAGGAATGGGGCAAGTGGGACTTGGAGCTGGGAATATTCCAAACACACTGTTAAGAATTCATTTCCGGGCTGGAGAGATGGCTCAGCGGTTAAGAGCATGGACTGCTCTTCCAGAGGTCCCGAGTTCAATTCCCAGCAACCACATGGTGGCTCACAACCATCTGTAAGGGATCTGATGCCCTGACAGCTACAGTGTACTCATATACATATTTCTGACAGCTACGGTGTACTCATATACATAAAATAAATAAATAAATCTTTTTTTTAAAAAAAGAATTCATTTCCTGGGTTGGAGAGATGGCCCAGTGGTTTAGAGCACTAACTACTCTTCCAGAGGTCCTGAGTTCAATTCCCCACCAACTACTTGGTGGCTCACAACTATCTGCAAATAGAATCCAATGCCCTCTTCTGGTGTGTCTGAAAATAGCTACAGTGTACTCTTAGATATATAATAAGTAAATCTTTAAAAAAAAATGAATTCATTTCCTAGTCCAGCATGATAGTTCAGTGGGTAAAAGTGTATGCTGTTAAGCTGGATGACCTAAGGCAATCCCCTAGACCCACGTCATGAAAGAAGAGAACCGATTTCCAAAAGTTATCTTCTGGCTTGCACACAAGCTCACGCGCAGACATAAAACAAATACATGTAATTTTAAAAGTTGTTTTTCTGCCGGGCTTGGTGGTACACTCCTTTAATCTCAGAATTCAGGCAAAGGCAGAAGGGTCACTGTGAGTTCAAGGACAGCCAGGACTGCATACAGAGACCCTGTCTTTGAAAAAAAAAATAGAAATTAAGACAAATTTTCCTGAAGACTGATATGACAGGAGTAGCCACATGGGGAAAAGAGAGTTAACCTGAATTAGGAAAGGTTTTGAAAGCCTCGCGGTTTGACATCTGGGTTGCAGGGAAGAATGCTGGGCTAAAATGCACTGAAACATCCGGAGGTCTTGGTAGCAGTTCCGCTGGGGACTGTGTGTTGTTCAGACAGCCTGGGAAGCTTGGTGGATTTAGGTCCAGACTGTGTTGGGGCTTGCTTGCTCACGGACCATCCTGGCTCCGTGCTTTGATTTCGCTGAACCTTCTGATCACAATACTGCCAGAAGATCAGACAATATCTGTGACATACCTGTCCCCTGGGGCCTCTCCAGGTGCCGGGAGTTTAGTACCCCTCTCTTCTGTGTCCTCTATTCTCCTTGCAGTGCTGGGCGTCGTTAGACAAGTGCCCTATTGCTGAGTCATATCCCCAGCCTCTGAAACTCTTTTATGTTTGGGTCTGGCCTATAAAAATGTAACAAGTTGGATGTGCAGCTGACATGTGTCTATGTCTGCTGCCCTCACTGTGACCTCAGTGGAGAAGTCTGCACAGAGTAGCCCTCCATTTTAGCCATGTGACTCTCCTGCCATGCACTTGATGAGGGCCTGGTACTTCTATCCTCACCTTGTGATCTTGGGAAAGTTGCTTCACCTTTTTTGTGCCCCATAGTCACTGTTCAGGATACACATAATATCTGCCTTTGTCTTACCTAGGTCGACAAGAGTTCCCCGAGATTAGAGGCCCTGAAGGGGCAGGCATCCTCCCAGCTACCTCAGGAATGTGGTCGTGAGGCAGAGCCCACAGCTTTTTGGGAGAAAAGTAGTCTTGGGCCATGGCCCAGGTCAGCATCAACAGTGACTACAGCGAGTGGGCCTCCAGCACTGATGCTGGGGAGCGGGCCCGTTTGCTACAAAGTCCCTGTGTGGATGTGGTCCCCAAGAGCGAGGGGGAGGCATCTCCTGGAGATCCAGACAGTGGCACCACTTCAACGCTTGGAGCTGTCTTCATCGTGGTCAATGCCTGCCTTGGTGCGGGTCTGCTCAACTTCCCAGCAGCCTTCAGCACTGCTGGGGGCGTGGCATCTGGCATCGCCCTACAGATGGTGAGTGTGCTGGCAGCAGAGGTAGGCAGTATGCACAGGGCCTCTTTGATTTACAGGGGAAGCTTTGAATCGGAGATGAGCCATAGGGGACATATGTTCTCATTCTTCCCTCCCTTATAAGTGATAGACATTACCAGTCTATTCCAGAACTTTCCTTGTAGCCAAGGATGACCTTTAGCTTTGGATCTGCTTGCTTCCACATCCCGGGTGCTGGGATTACAGATAGGTGCCACCACACTCGGTTCTACAAAGTACTGAGGATCAAACCCAGGACTTCATGCATGCTAGACATGTACTCTACTGATTGAGCTACATCCAGCCCCTGGATATTTAAGTTTTCAGGTGTTGTATTGATTTTTGTGATGATGTTTAAATAACCACTTTTTAGAATTTTTAAAATGTTTACTAATGAAATAAAAAAGATGTTTGCATTGGCTTCAAAATACAATAAAAAAGATAAAAAAAAATGAGGGGGGGAAATCTCAGAACCCAAGAGGTTGAGGCAAAAGGACCTTCATGAGTTCAAAGCTAGCATGTACCATGTACCACATATTATCTAGCCTGGGCTACCAAATGAGACTTTATCTCAATAGAAAACAACAACAACAACAACAAAAAGAAAAAAAAACCAGCCGGGCAGTGGTGGCACACACCTTTAATCCCAGCACTTGGGAGGCAGAAGCAGGAAGATTTCTGAGTTTGAGGCCAGCCTGGTCTACAGAGTGAGTTCCAGGACAGCCAGGGCTACACAGAGAAACCCTGTCTCGAAAAAACCAAAACCCAAAAAAAAAGATTTATTTATTTTATGTATGAGTACACTGTGGCTGTCTTCAGATACACAGAAGGGGGCATTGGATCCTGTACAGATGGTTGTGAGCCACCATGTGGTTGCTGGGAATTGAATTCAGAACCTCTGGAAGAGCAGTCAGTGCCCTTAATCGCTGAGCCATCTCCCCAACCCCTTGTTTGCATGTTTAAAATTTTTAATGAAACTCATTTTTGGTTTTGTTTTGTTTTAAATTATTTTATGTGTGTGTGTTTTGCTTGCAAGCGTAATTGTATGCCACATGCATGCAGTACAAGTGGAAGCCAGAAGAGGGTGTCAGATCCCTGTACAACTGGAGTTAGAGATGTTTGTTGAGCCACCATGTGGATGCTGGGAATTGACCCCAGGTCCTCCGAAAGATTAGCCTGTGCTCTTAACCGTGGAGTCATTTCTCTAGCACCTGAAATTCATTTTTAAAGAAAATTTCAACTTGGCAACATCTAGTAATCTGTTAAAATTGACCCAGGAGATAAGACCCAATTGTGAACCTGCCCATTGGTGTAAGAAATGCCAGCAAGGAAGGAGCTCGCCATCCCTTTCTCACACCCTCTCCTCTGCTCTGCCTGCAGGGCATGCTGGTTTTCATCATCAGTGGACTGGTCATTCTGGCCTATTGCTCTCAAGCCAGCAATGAGAGGACCTACCAGGAGGTGGTGTGGGCTGTGTGTGGCAAGCTGACTGGTGTGCTGTGTGAGGTAGCCATCGCAGTCTATACCTTCGGAACCTGCATCGCCTTCCTCATCATTATTGGGGACCAGCAGGACAAGAGTGAGCCACTCCTTGACCCCCAGTGCCCACCTCCTCTTTTTTCCTTTGGCCTGAGGGTCTGGGGTTAGAGGGGAAGAGACATACAAACTAGATCTGCCCTCTCCGCAAGTCCTGCTTCTTAGAGAGAGGTCTTAGGACCTGTTGATGAAGGAGGGCTACACCCTGATTGGCTTGGCTTGACGTTCCCTCCTTCCCTGTGCAGTTATAGCTGTGATGTCAAAGGAGCCTGATGGGACAAGCAGCAGCCCCTGGTACACAGACCGAAAGTTCACCATCAGCCTCACTGCCTTCTTCTTCATCCTGCCTCTGTCCATCCCCAAGGAGATTGGCTTCCAGAAATATGCCAGGTTCGGAGGTCCCAACCCAGCCTGAGCCAGACAGAGGCTCTGATCAAAGGCAACTGGAGAGCCATTTCTGGTGGGGAACCCCTATCCTCCATGGCATCTCGCTTGGGGAGCCAGAATAGGCAAGCCAGGGCAGACCAGAGCTTTCAGGAACCTAGGCCCAGGACTTTCCTTTTCCATTTCTATCAAAATAGTGACCCTTTTGCACCATTGAAAGGTTGCGACTAAATGTCCTTGTCAAAGAAGGCATTGGGGATGGCTGGCAGTGTCATAGCAGATGCTGGCCTGGGTGTTGGTTTTACTGGAAGCTGATAGCTGGTGAACTTGATATTGTGAGTTTGGTGAGGTCTTCCCTGGAGCTCAGAGAAAGGCAGGAGAGTGGCTTCTTAGCCCCATATCTGAAAATCTCTGGGGGTTGATGTTTCACCCTTGACTATCTGCAGGGTTTCCTTAATGCTTGTACCCCGGTATCTGCACTTTCCCCCTTTGCACTAGAATCTCTGAATTCTCAGAGGCCAGGCCCACAAGATGGCCAGCTGTGAGCCCTTGCCACACCTGGCTGCTCAGGCTGAGCTTGTAGCTGTGCTTTGGAGCCCAGTTCCTGGATGTGGTCTCTTGAGTCAGCACGTGTGCCCGTGGCTGGAATGCTGACAAGCTCCCTCCTTCCCGTGGCAGAGCTCTCTGATGCGTATTTCTCCTGAATCATTATTTGGTGTGGTTTGGTGCCTAGAGCAAGGGTGGGCACTTCTGGGGATGGAGTTGGACAAGGTTTGGCTGGCGCTGGGGACTAGGCATTCAGTGTCTACTTCTTGGCAGCTTCCTGAGCGTCGTGGGCACCTGGTACGTCACTGCCATTATAATCATCAAATACATCTGGCCAGATAAAGAGATGCACCCTGGGGACATCTTGACCAGGTAGGTGAGGGTCCCTGGGAAATACACGGGGTAGAAGGTGCTAAAAGTCTGGCATCTAAATGTCACACGTGTGCCCTTCCTAAGGCTCATTAGCTCATTCATAGTAACTCGACAGTCATAGGGAGGAGATGAGAGGGCCCCTTCTGGTTTGGGTGGGAGGGGTATTGTTTGTTTTTACATGGATGGAAGAACGACAGTCTAGGGGAGGAAGAGGCTCTACCACTAACATCCAGCAGATGCCATGGTGCTATGCCAAGTCCCACCTTGGGGAGGCCACCAGGGAAAATTTGCACGCTTTCTCAATTACTCTGTACAGATTTATCAGACTGGGTATCTTGTAGCCTGGGCTAGACTTAAGCTCACTATGTAGCCTAGCCTTGAGCTCCTGCTCTTCTCCTTCCTCCACCTCCCAAGTGCAGACACACACCACCATGCCTAGCTTTTCTGTCTGTCTGTCTACCTACCTACCTACCTACCTATTTATCTATTTATTTTAAAGAATCAACTGAGAAAAGCAAAGTCCCAGTTCAGGAGCCAAGCAGTCTGGACTCTGGTCCTAGGATGGCCTCTCAGAGCCTGTCTCTGGAGTTTTAAGATAGACTCGTCCATGTGCATTCAGTGTGTAGAGTGCTGGTTTTGGGGGTTTGGAGGGTGAGTGGAGACTGGGTGGTCAGGATGGTTGGTGGCTCTGTGGGATTCACAGGTTCACACTGTTTGCCTACAGACCAACGTCCTGGATGGCTGTGTTCAACGCCATGCCCACCATCTGCTTTGGATTTCAGGTGCCACCACCAGGGTCCCTGCTGTCTCATTAGCCCCCCACACACACACACACACACTCCCAACACTGGGAAGGGACCCAGATTATAGATAGGATGGTGGGGACCATATCCTGGGGAAATTGATGAACCAAGGATCCCTGGCTTGCCCCTTATCCCTGGGACCTTTGCCCCCAAGCTTCCTCCCCTTGAGACCTGGGGATGAGGCCACTTCCCCACTGTGACCATACTCTTCACCTGGACAGTGCCATGTGAGCAGTGTCCCCGTCTTCAACAGCATGCGGCAGCCCGAAGTAAAGACCTGGGGCGGAGTGGTGACGGCCGCCATGGTCATAGCTCTGGCTGTCTACATGGGCACAGGTGAGTGCTCCCCTCCAGAGGCTAGGTTTGGATGCTCCTACTCCCTCTTGAGTCTCCAAGGTTTCTGGTCCAGCTTTCCTAGGGAAGTTCTGCACTCTTAACTCTATAGGCATTGACTTGAATTGAGCTGCCCAAGGCGGCTGCCCCTCATCAGGGTTCTGAGCGTGTTGCATCTGCTCAGTGGTCCTAAACCGATGCTGAGTGATTATCAGAAGGTGTTCCCATTGTGGGGTTGCTACTGGGACACATGGAGCTGGCCCCAGCCCTGGTGGAATACAGTCTTGGAGAAACAGTTACGTATAAATAATAATGGAAAAAGGAATTCCAGGCAGGGGCAGATGTCATGACATGGAAACCAGGAAGTAGGGAACGGGACTGAATAGGGGTGGCGTTCCCAGAAGGCTCTTCTCTGAGCGTGTGGTACCTGGAAAGGCCGATGAAGGAAAAGACAGACTATAAAGAGTTGTGTGGGAAGGAGCATTCTAGAGAGAAACTGTGAATGCAGAGCTTCTGGGCAGAGGTGGGAGGGAGGTCTGTGTAGCTGGAGTGTAGAAAGCGGGTGCCTATGAGGCTGGGCAGCCAAGGGGAAGAGGGTGGATGCTGCCAGGAGCCTGGGGGATGCAGTTCTTGGGTGGGAAATGACCAGGCAAGGGAATCTCTGGCTGTTGCATGGGTTTAGACCTGCAGACGCTGGTCAGAGATGAACTGAGAGTTACCTGTGGTAGGGGACAAGGACAGGAGCTACCCCAGGCTAGTGCTATTTCAGCCTCTGAAACAACAGTCAGAAGCACAAGAGGCAACGCCCCTTTTGTCATGGGTCCTGTGTTCTGGCTGGGGTGATGGACAGTTTAGAGAGAGGTGAATGGGGAATAGAACAGGGTAGTAAGCAGGTGCCTGGGGTGGGGGTGACTGTGCATGGGCAAATCCACGTTCTCTGAGGAGGGAACATCTGAACTGAGACCGGAACGACTAGGCAGCAGCAGGGCTGTTTGAGCAGATGGAATGGTTAGTATAGAAGTTAGGAGGCACGTGCAGAAAAGAGTGGGGACCGGTGGCATCTGAGAAGGCAGACTTCCTTACTGAGGCCCAGGCCTCACCTCCCAAGCTGCTACAGCGTTCTTTCTGAATGATGTTGCTCCTAGCAAGAGTCGACTGTGGTCACCCCTTACCCTACCACGGTTGCCCTCACCCCACCCCTGGTCCTTCCCCACAGGCATCTGTGGCTTCCTGACTTTCGGAGCTGCTGTGGATCCCGACGTGCTCCGGTCCTACCCCTCAGAGGACGTGGCTGTGGCCGTGGCCCGAGCCTTCATCATCCTGAGTGTACTCACCTCCTATCCCATCTTGCACTTCTGTGGGCGGTGAGCCCCTCCCCCACCCTGCCCAAGGGCCCCGGGGAGCCAGCTCCATACACGGCCTTATATGGAACCTACTTTGTGGCGAGGAAAACTGAAGCCCACAGAAAAGAATATATCCGGGATGCCCTCCCCCATACTCACGCCAGATCTATTGGCTTCAGAACGTTCTGTAAGCCCTGTAAAGATGGATCTCCAGTCCAGATCCTTTTCTGAGCTTTTATACGAACCCAGCCAGCCTTCTGAATAATCCAAACTATTCCTTTTTTATAAGGGAATAATGGTATCCGTATTCACATGAAGTGGCCAAGCCTTTTGTTAACTTCCCTGCAGCCCATAGCAACTAAGGACCGTGCTGGTCACAGATGAGGACCCAGGCTCAGGGACCTCACTCTGCCCATTCAGGATCTCGTCCCCATGCACTACCCAAAGCACCCTGAGCCCCTCCTCATGTGAGCAGGGCTGTGGTGGAAGGCCTGTGGCTGCGCTACAAGGGGATCCCGGTGGAGGAGGACGTGGGCCGGGAGCGCCAGCGCCGGGTCCTGCAGACGCTGGTGTGGTTCCTACTCACCCTGCTACTGGCGCTCTTTATCCCTGACATTGGCAAGGTCATCTCGGTCATCGGAGGCCTGGCAGCCTGCTTCATCTTCATCTTCCCAGGTACACGCCCCAGGCACCCTCCCATCTCCACCATACAGCAGGACCTCTCTAGCCTCAGCCAGGGACTCAAAACCTGCCGGTAAGATAAGCAGCAGTCCCTGATGCTCACTGATGTATGTACCTCAGCTATGCGCTGCCATCTCAGCGTTGACTCCTAAAGGCAAGATGTGATCTCTGTTTTACTAATGAGACCTGAGGCCAGAGCAGTGGTCCTCAACCAAGGAGATGAACGACCCTTTCAAAGGGTTGCCGATCAGATATTCTGCCTCAGATCAGATATTTACATTGTGACTCATAACAGTAGCAAAATTACAGTTATAAAGGAACAACGAAAATGATTTTATAATTGGCAGTCACCACAATACAAGGAACTGTATTAAAGGGTTGCAGCGTTAGGAAGGTTGAGAACCACTGAGCTGGAGAGTTCAGACCAACGGCTAAGAAGCTCAACTATCAACAACCTATTTGAAGCCCTATAGGCCCAGGTCTGGGGTTCTCTATTTGAACCCTTCATTCAAGTATGTGCACTCTTGACTCTCAGGATTTGACTAGCTTATTCCAGTCCAGAGAGAAGGAAGCCTGGTAGTGGCACCTTGAGGCTGGAGTCATGAGACCCAAGCTGACATAGGTCAGCTGCAGATCCCCAGAAACCCCTCCCGTCTGCATGGCTATGAGTTCTGCTGGATCGGGTTTGTCTCTGTCCGGGAGCCTCCACAAAGCTCATCCCACTGGGCGTGGAGCAAAGGAGCCAGCCATCCCTGCTCTGGAGTAGGCAAGATGGTGTGAGCCACTGAGTCCCTAGTCAGTGTGGCGCTTTGGTTCTGAGTCCTGAATATAGCCCAAGGAGTACTTGTTAGCTGCTGGCCTATCCTGGGAGAGCAGAGGGCAGGTGTCCAGCTGAGCATGGATTGTGGCAGAGGACCGGGATTTCAGACTCACTAGTAAAGCAGACCTTTCTCCATCCCCCACTGCTTCTTGGCTGGGGAAGCTGAGCTGTGGGAGGGAATCCCTGCCTCCTCCAAACTCAGGATTACGTCTTTCTTTCTAGGGCTGTGCCTCATTCAAGCCAAACTATCAGAAATGGAAGAGGTCAAACCTGCCAGGTAAAAAGCAGGGCCAGCCCAGCTGCCTTTCAGGGAGGTGACGAGGGCCTTTAAAATAGAGACCTGGACACTTGAAATTTCGGGCATTTCTGGGAACTGGCACACACTGTTGTTACCTCCACACTCAGAGGTTGCTAGGGGAGGTTGCTAGGGGTTTGGAGTCCCTGATGCTGTGCCAGTAACTTTTTACAAGAAACAAGCTTTCAGCTTGTGGTCTGAGGGCACAGCTGGTCCCAGTGGCAGGAGAATGAGGAGTCTGGACATGTGTCCTAGGTTAGGAAGCAAAGTAGTGACAGTGACTCTGAGCCTACCTCCTCCATCATTTCTTTTTAGTCAGTCTGGGACCTTAGCCCATCGAATTGTCCTGGCCCTGTTTAGGGTGGGGCTCCCCTCCTCTCTTAAACCTCTCTGGCAGATACACACTAGGCAATTCCAAATCCAATCAAATTGATAATGGCAGTGAGCCATCACATTACATTGTGAGAACCAAGCCAGCCAGAGCTACATAGCAACACACACACATACACACACACACACACAGAGTCTTAAAAAAAAAGATGGAGGGAACTGGAGGGACAGCTCAATGCTTTCAGATGTTTGCTATTCAGTCCTAGAAACCCAGGTTCAGATCCCAGCACCCATGTAACAAACCAGGCATCCTGCAAATGCCTGTAACTCCAGCTCCAAGAGAGCGTGTATATTCTTCTGGCCTCCACACATGCACCTATGCAGTGCACATAACACTCACACAGACATACACACACACAAATAAAAAGGTTTTGGTACTTGGAAGTACAACTTAGTATCAAACCCTGTGCTTGTCATGTATGAAGGGTTTCAATACCCTAGTATTGCTCCCCAAATTTTAGGGCTTTAATGTACATTTTTGCAATGGGTAACCTGATTTACTTATACAATTCGTGTACTAGTGAAAGGTTTTAGAAGAAAAAATGGGAGTACCATTCCCCTAATTAAGCATATCCCTAATCTCGGCACTTGAAAGACTGAGGCCAGAGTATTTGTAGAATACAAAGCCAGCCTGGGCTACATGAGTTCAAGCTAGCCTAGGCTATATAGTGAAACCTTTCTCAACCAGAAAAGGCAGGTGAGCCGGGCGGTTGTGGCGCATGCCTTTAATCCCAGCACTTGGGAAGCAGAGGCAGGCGGATTTCTGAGTTCCAGGTCAGCCTGGTCTACAGAGTGAGTTCCAGGACAGCCAGGACTATACAGAGAAACTCTGTCTTGAAAAAACAAAACAAAAAAACAAAAACAAAAAAAAGGCAGGTGAATCTCTTCTCTCACAGCCTGCTCTCCACTTGCCCTTCTCCTAAGACAGCTCTGCTTTCCCTGTGGGCTACAACCTAATGTGTCTTGACTACACAGTGTACACAGACATGTTGTTTGAGGTAGGAAGGTTGCCAGGAGTTTAAAGCCAGCCTGGTCTACAGAGTGAGTTCCAGGATAGCCAGGGCTACACAGAGAAACCCTGTCTTGAAAAAACTAAAAAAATAAAAAGAAAAGAGAAGAAAAGTTACCCTTCATCTCAACGCCAGTGATAACTTTCTGGCAGTTTTGTTACACATACTTGTAGATGTCTGCCTTCTGCTTCTTTTTTTATTTTATTATTTTACATTCATTTCCTCCTCCTTTCCCCCTCCCCCACCCCCTGAAAGAGCCTTAATCACCAAGCCATCTCTCCAGCCCCTGCCCTCTGTTTCTTTTTGAGTGAAACATCTCATTTTCTGTCACCTGCTTTTTCCTGAGCATCTTCCCATTGGGAGATTTGCATTCTCCTGTGGTGGTCTCTCTTCAATGTTAGCCCCTCTAGGTCTTGGTCTCCTTAACAGTGAAGTGGGGTCACATACCTTTGTGTGGGAAAGTCCTTCTGAAGCCTGAAGCGCCTTGCCTACAGAGGTGACGTGACGGGATAGATTATATTGGCTGTTATAGATATGAGTCTGAAGAAATATGGAAAAAAAAAAGACTGAAACATTCTCTTGTCCTCTGCCTTACAGCTGGTGGGCACTGGTCAGCTATGGAGTCCTTCTGGTCACCCTGGGAGCCTTTATCTTTGGCCAAACCACAGCCAATGCCATCTTTGTGGACCTCTTGGCCTGAACACTGCTTCACCAAAAACATATGACCAGAGCCATCTCTCAGAACTGTGGAGCTGCCCAAGTCCCACGTCCTGTTCCAGCTAGTGAGATGAGATGACAGAGCCATCTCTCAGAGCTGTGGAGCTGCCCAAGTCCCACGTCCTGTTCCAGCTAGTGAGATGAGATGACATGTGGACACCTTTTCCCCTGGACAGTCATGAGACAATCAGCCGCAAATCTGTGGACAGCTCCCACCCAGCTGCCTTGCTTCTCGATGGGGGTCCCATATCACAGGAGCTTCCCCTTTGTCTGGCTCTCAACTTCAAGCCTTTGAGACTTGACAATGGAGAGGGTCAGTGGATCTCAGAAGACAGAGTCTATTCTGACTTCCCTCTGGAAAAAGAACAAAAATTCATATGCATAGAGCTGGCATCCTCCATGGAGCATGTCAGGACTGTGCTCAGTACCTCGGGGTTCAGTGCCTGCCCATGTCTCTCAGAAGCCAGTGACAGCTTCTCCTGGGACCTGGCAACTTCCAAAGGTGATGCTGACATCAGATAAATGTCCATTCCTCTCTTGGTCCCCTATGAGTCTCTGGTAGCTTCCCAGGTCCCTACCCTGACTTTGTCCAAACCTAATAGTCCATGTTGTGTATGCTTCTGCTGTGTTCCCAGACATCACCAAGTCTAATGTTTACAAACGGTGCCAGCCTGGCTCCGGAGCTAGGGGCTGCCATGCCATGGTGCTGTGAGCACTCCTCCGTTAGCTTTTTGCATGGGCAGAGAGTCTATTGTCTTTTTGAGATCCTAGATAGGCCTGTCTTTTCAGAGGTTGGAGTAGGACCTTTTAGATTATCCTTCCAGGCTGGGCTGCCCAAGGTCTAGGTGACATTCCAGCTCCGTTGCTTCACTCCTCTTCACACACTTCAAGCCTGTCCTCTCCCCACGTGAAACCTAGCCCCAGAACCCAGAGGGAAGTTAGACTGAGGACCCTGGATATTTTCCTTATTGTCTCCGTCTTCCCCCATTCCCACACTCCCATCCCTCCCCCCCCCCCAACCCTACCTCTTCTCTTTCTTCATGCATGGGTTTTGTTATTTGGTGGGGGAGGCTGTGTCACCAGACCCTGTCACACCAGTTTGCCTGGCTCCACAGATCTGTCAAGCCTGGCCTCTGTGTCTAGGAGTCCTGCTGAGTCATATCCACCCCAGGTGAGGTCAGCCTATGGACTTCTCTATCTTGACTGCCGTAGCCTCGAATCTACCCCTGCTCACTCTTCTAAGTCCCAGGTACAGAATTGGTCCTTCTAAATCTATTCTGTCTAAAACACCTATCCTAGGAGCGAAAGGGACCCTTACCAGCAGACCCCCACCTCCAACTCAGGTCAGTCCTGTCGAGGCAGGAGGCTCAGTGTCTAGACTTGCTGGATTGTTCTTTTCCCATCCATCCCTGGTACTTCTGGTCCTGCTACACTGTTTAACCCCACAAGCCTCCAAGTTTTGCCTGTCACAGTGGCCAATCATAAAGTTGGGCATAGCACAGAGACAGGCTAGCTGGAACAGTTGGCTAGAACCCAGCTTCAGCTTGAGCTCAGGACCTCCTGCCTCCTCGTCCTTTGCCCTCTGTATCCATTTTCTTGCTGGTTCTTTTCTACTCAAGCACACTTGGAGATGGAAGTGGTTAATAAAGGGACTTGTACTGCTAAACTGTGTCTCCTTTATCCTGTGCTTGGGACAGAGTCTAGGCCATAAACGTGTAGATGACGCTCAACTATCCACAACCAGGGATGGCACCCGTGGGCTCTCTTGCCAGAGCAAGAGTCTTCAGGAGGCTCTGGACACCCCTTTTCTGCTCCCTCCCTTGAATCTTTACGCACTGACTGGAGAGGGTCTCTTCTGGGTGCTGCTTCTGCCCTAACTCGAGCTCTCACTCTGTCCCCTGCATCTTTTCATCCTTAGCCAGCCTCTCTGATGCTGATCCATGACCATAATCTTGGAGTGACCATCAGGCTCCTCAGTGTCCACTGGGTCTATAAGAGGCAGGACAGGCCCTGTTTGGCTGGATACAGAGTCAGCCACTGCATTCCACATGCCAAGAAAACGACAGGCAGACTAGCTTTGTCCCAGGGTAGCTGGGCAGACAGATGCTAAGCAGTCACACAAGTCTTGTTGAAAATTCCAAGAAGCCGGGTGGTGGTGGTACACGCCTTTAATCCCAGCACTTGGGAGGCAGAGGCAGGCAGATTTCTGAGTTTGAGGCCAGCCTGGTCTACATAGTGAGTTCCAGGACAGCCAGGGCTTCACAGAGAAACCCTGTCTCGAAAAACAAAAAAGAAGAAAAGAAAAAGAAAGTCCCAAGAAGGGGCTGGAGAGATGGCTCAGTGGTTAAGAGCACTGATTGCTCTTCCAGAGGTCCTGAGTTCAATTCCCAGCAACCACATGGTGGCTCACAACCATCTGTAATGGGATCCTGATGCCCTCTTCTGGTGTGTCTGATCATAGCAACTGTGTGCTCACATTCATAAAATAAATAAATCTTTAAAAAAAAAAAAAAAATTTAAAAAAAAAAAGAAAGTCCCAAGAAGGGAAAATGGAGTCACTGTGTCACTGGATCAAAATGGCCAAGATCATCAGCTTAGAAAGAGAGAGACAATTTATCTTGGCTCACAGTTTTGGAGGACTTGGTCCATGACCACTTGGCCTTGCTGCTTTGGATCTAGGATGGCAAAATAGGTCATGGCTGGCACGTGTGGCTAAGAAGAAAATAAAAAGACAGGAAGATTGTGGCACCTGTGTAAGCCTAGCACTCTGGTGCCTGGGGCAGGGAGATTTCCAGTCTTGGTACATAGTGACTCTGCCTGACAAACAGAAAAAAATCAGAGTTCTGATATGCCTCCCAAAGGTCCTGTGACCAAACTTTCTTCCACTTCATATCTTAAAGGTTCTATCTTTAGCACCACAAGATGAAGCAGAAAATTTTAACCAAAGGGTCTTTGAGGGTGGGGTCACATTCTGACTTCAGATTACAGCAGAAGCCATAGGATCTGCCTAAGGAGTCCAGGAGGGCTTCCTAGAGAGAGGTGGAGAACTTGCAAGCAGTGAGCACTGTATGCATAGAGGTCCTGAAGTAAAAGAACTACAGCTTAAAGAACTAAGAAATGGGCTGAGAGAGATGGCTCAGAGGTTAAGAGCACTGGCTGTTCTTCCAGAGGACCTAAGTTCAATCCCCAGCAACCACATGGTGGGTCACAACCTGGTAACCCTCTGTGGCCTGTAGGCACAGGACGCATGCAGACAGAACTCTGTATACACAACAAATAAGAACTAAGAAGTGGTCAGTGTAGGTGAGCCTTGCCTGGGTCTGGGAGAGCAGCCAAGGTGAAGCTGGAACGCTGTGGATGTACCTGTGGCTCTCCTTTAGGATTAGTCTGGACGCCATGCCTCATCTTCTCCCTGTGCTGCTGCAAAAACATTCAGATGAGGCAGGAAACTCAAGACTCCAAAGAGGAAGTGGGGTGGAACAGCTTTGGGCTTTCACTCCCTCTTGACTGGGGGGCCATGTTTTTTTGGGATTTGTTTTGTTTTTGTTTTTCCTGGTTTTTTTTTTTTTTTTTTTTTTGGTTTTTCGAGACAGGGTTTGGTTTTTGTTTGTTTGTTTGTTTGGTTTTGGTTTTTCAAGACAGGGTTTCTCTGTATAGCCTGGGCAGTCCTGGAACTCACTCTGTAGACCACGCTGGCCTTGAACTCAGAAATCTGCCTGCCTCTGCCTCCCAAGTGCTGGGATTAAAGGCGGGCACCACCACTGCCCGGCTTGGGTGGGGTGGGAGGCATGTTTTAAAGAATGAGTTTTCTCCCCGTGAACAGAGGGTTGAACTCACCCACCCATGCCTCCTCATACTAGAATTGGCTCCATCTTAATCAGTGTCTTCCCATGAGACCAGAAGATCCTTGGCAGCAGGGCGGCGTCTTCCCATGGGTCAGGCATCAGCCTGGTGCCTCATGTTTTGCTAAAGCTTTATTGCATCAACTGCATTTGTGTGCTCAGCCCTGAAGTTAAATAGTTAGCTGGGGTTACACAGGGCCTGTCAGTGGAGCCAGACAGCATCCTTATCGTGTATAAGTCAACAAAGAACCAGAGTGCACTCTCAGCCAGCTCGATGACCTCTGACCCTACAGAGCAAGCCAGGAACTCATAGCCCCCATTCAGGCAGGCACAGCAGACCTCAGAACCCTCTTATCTTCTCCCAGCCAATCCACAGCAAGGGGTCCGGCTCCTGCTGGCTAGGGGCCTGGGCAAGGTTTGTTTATCTAAATGGAAGAGTCAACTGATCTCATTTGCATAACTTGTGGACAAAGGTCAGTCTCAAGACAATGCTTGAGGGCTGGAGATGTCTAGCATCCACAGAGCCTTTGTGAGGGTACTGATGGGAGTGGGAGGGACGGGAGACAGGACATGGCTGGGACTGACAAGTAACCCGACAGGGGTGGGGGATGGGATGGAGAATGGGACAGATGGAGACAAAAGACAGAAGGAAACGGAAAAAGTAGGCCACATTTCTTTGTTTTGTCGCAGGAAGATGCGCGCTGAGTATCCATCTCCAAGGCCTGTTGGACTTGCACTCAAATATGCAAACAAGTCATAAGTAAAAAGCCACCTGGGCTCTCTAGGCTATTTCCGACTCAGCAGGTCTGAAGTAGGGGGGCCTAACACGCCCATGAGGCAATGTTCCTGCTCTTGATAACACTGAATAATAGAGGGCCTGGCCGGTTGATCAGTCTTGGCCCTCAGACAGACCAGATGTGGGTTGATGCCTCTTTCCCTGCAAGACCACAGGGATTGATTCACTTCTCTGAGCCTCCTTTTGCTGAGCTATGGTGGGGGTTGAGGAGGCTGTGCCACCTTATAGGTAAAGGCATTTGAAATATGAGAGACTAATGTAGAATGCCTAGCAGATAGATACTGTGTTTCTCCACATGGAAGTGGACAACTGCAGTTTCTCTTTCAGCTGATAGAGGTCGCCCTTGCGTAATTTCTGCTTATGGAGTTGGAGCCTTGGTGTTCTCAGGAAGACTCCAGCTCTCTGAGTCAGTAGAGTCCCTGGTGATTTATACGTTGTGTGGTATATCTGAGTGACACCCTTATACCAGGGCAGGGCCACCTCGAAGCCACAGATCCAGTCTGATGTGGAAATCAGATGAATAATACAATTCACAGAGACTAACTGTGGAGATGTAATGCAGTATTTTATTTCTTCTCAGGAGGACACTCACTGACTGGCTGAGACAAGTCGGCCCCACCAGCCACTACACCAGCCCCAGCCTCAAAGCAAGACTAACTTTGTCTATCTCAAGCGCCTCTGTGACCTGGTGGGAGCCGGGCTCCAGCTGAGAACCGGCTTTTGTGGGTCGGGTTTTGAACTTTTGAGGCAGTCTCATGCTGGAGCCCAGGCTGACCCTGACATGGAGGTGCTACTTACTGCGCCAGTCTCAGTCCTAGAGTGTTGGAATTGCAGTGGGACCGCACCACACCTAGCTGAGAGTACATTTTGTGTCACTTTCCTCATTGCCTTGTCTGGTTCTGTCCACACCCCCACTAAGTCAGGTTCACAAGAACCCCCATCTCAGGCCCTTCCTCTAGGGAGTCCACCCAGGCCCTAAATTCCTTCATTCTTTTGTTTTTCCTTCTTAAAAATTTATTCTTCTTTCATGTATTACATCCCAACTGCAGTTCCTCTCTCTCCCCTCCCCCCAGTCTCTCCCTTCCCCTTTCCTCAAAATTCCTTTTTATTCCACACACAATCCAGGAAATTATGTGGCTCCTGAGGTTTGCAGGGGGTGGGAAGAGGTAAAGAGACAAATCAGGTTGGGTATGTCTGTCTCTCTCTCTCTCTTTCTCTCTCTCCCCCTCCCCCTCCCTCTTTTGTTGCTCTGAAAGGCAGGAGAGCCAAGTTTATAAACCCATTCAAGAGATAAGGGATTGGCAAGACAAATACTCTAACCTTCTGAAACCATAAGCTCTCAAATTAAATACTTCCTTTTTATAAGTTGTCTTGGCCATGGTGTCTCTTTACAGAAATAGAAAAGTAACTAAGACACGCATAGAAAGAAGTGTTTATGGTGGCATAGGTGACCCATTCTGACACTGGTGGTTAGAATGACATTGTTGACAAAGACAAACAAGACATCCTCAGCTCGGAGATGAATTTATTTCTGGGTCAAAGGTAGAATTTGGGTTTGATCAGATGGCTCAGAAGCAGCAGTTCTCAACCTGTGCGTCTTGGCCACCTGGAAACATATTTCTGATAGTCCAGGGAACTGAGCCACCCAGTAGCAAATGACAGTTATGAAGTAGCAATGAAAATAAAGTTACGGTTGGGGGATTCCTCAGACCATGGGAAATATGTGTTTTCTGATGGTCTTGATCCACAGCATAAGAACTGCTGGCTCAGTGGGTAAATTTACCATACAAACCTGGTGATCTGAGTTCAATCCCTGGAACCTGTGCAAAGGCAGAGGAAGAAAATGACTCCACAAAAAAAAAAAAAAAAAAAAAAAAAAAAAAAGCTGGGCAGTGGTGCACACGCCTTTAGTCCCAGCACTTGGGCGGCAGAGGCAGGCGGATTTCTGAGTTCGAGGCCAGCCTGGTCTACAGAGTGAGTTCCAGGACAGCCAGGGCTACACAGAGAAACCCTGTCTCGAAAAAAACA